GGCTCGAGGACGTCGTCTGCGAACGAAATACGAGCACAAAAAATCAGAGCTTTCCTTCTATTTTGTTTCATATTTTCCGATTGCGTCGCGAGACCCGATTTCGAGGCGACTCAGTCGATAACAAAAAAGACGTCTTCGCTCTCGAAACCGGAGCACGTAACGAAACTAAGCGCGACCCCTCGCGCGAGCCAAATAACAAAAAGCTCCTTAAATGAAAGCTCGCTTTTGCGAACCCTTAAGAATCTAGTTACTCGAACAGATCCACGGGTCCTCTCGGCCTTCTGCTTGCAGACTTTAGCCCTCGGCCGCGACGATGGGTCGTCGGGGCCCGCTGCGGTGAAGGGTTGGAGGCGAACGGCGTCGTTTGTGGCGCTGCAGCGCGTCAAACTCCGGCTGCGAGTAATCAGCATGTAAATGTTTAGTGCCTAACGCTAATCGTCGCCGCGGGGCCGCGCTCGCCGCGTTTCGACCTCTATCGCCGAGCAGAAAGGCCCACATTCCCTGGAGGTCCGTCCCTCGCCAAATGAGACCGCGTTAACTCCGATAGCGCACCCCTCTATCTTGTGTAATAAAAGTTTATGTGTAAGCTTTAATCCGGCTATGTTTAGTCGGCGCGTTACGAGGTGTTACGCTGAAAAGGAGCAAATATATAAATGTGAAGAATAAAAGCGACCGCGTCCCTGTCGTTGCGGCCCTGCGTCCGAGGCCGGAGGCTTCGAAAAGCGATTACTTCTTAGGAATTCGATAATTAAATTGTACCTTTATCAAAAAGCTCGACGTGCTACGTACAAAGGCTCTTTGTGACTCGCGTCGAGCGCATATGGAGCTAGTTTATGCCCGTATCGGGTGAATCGAATTTGACAAGCGGGACAAGCTCCCCTGATTATCGAACTCGATAAAAACTGCCTCAAAAGTCTAGTCAAAGTTGTTTGTTTTTGACTGAGTTGCGATGCGCTTCTTAGCGATTTCCATATGACGTGAGAGACGTGGGTATACTTTAAATGCCTTTTTTCCAAAGGCACCTTACGGACTTCTCCTTGAGTTCGCGGCAGTTCCGGCAAAGCTGGCTGAGCAACGCTGGTAGGATTTTTTTACATTGAACAGCGTCTCTCCTAGGGTCGCAAGGAATCTGCAGATTAAGGCGATTTTTCGATCCTCCCGATTCCACAATGCACGGAGCCCTATTGTTGTCCCGTTTGAAGTCTTCGTTAGATTTCTGCGGGCATTCTATGTACCGGCATCACAAATGTCCCGCGGTCGATCCGTGCAGCAATTCCGTGTCAGCCGAGCACTAAACGCGTGCTCGTTTAGTAGTTAACCGCTCCGGGATCTTCCCCAAATCATTAATTTTACGGCGTCGGGAGCTCGCCGTCGAACAACGCAGTTCCCTGTATATCTTTACTTGGTGACGTTTATTAAGATGTAGGGCCGAATGTTTCGTCGAAGTGCGAGAATAGACTTTAATAGCTTCATGCAACCGTTAAAGTTAGAGTCGTAAGAATTTCATCAATTTTAAATTTAGTCAGTCCTTGGGATGTCCCCGGACATATTAATGCGACACGAAACGAACGCAAAACGTGAATTTGATATGTCACGGAAGCCAAGTCCGGCCAGGTTTCCAGTATGAAACGAGACAACGGTGGATTATTTTACACCACGGTCGGTGGGATTACGTCCTTCAGCCAGTTGAGGTTAATGAGGGCGCTTCCTGCCTCGCACGGATGTGGTCGGGAACTTCTCAAATTAAATAAAATCCTTCTCGGCTCAGAGGCCTCTGCCAACTATACTTCTTCGCCCTACTAAAGACCTACTCGTGTATCGTGTTCACTCTGCCTAATGTTGGGTTAGCTAAAACCAGTGTTAAGGTTAGGGACGACGAGATAGAATTGGTCAATTTAACTGTCTTTCTGGGCATAACATTACAAAAGTACAAAGAAAATAAACTATAGAACAATGAAAGAAAGATATAATCTACTAAAAAAGAATGTGTTTCTTTACTGACGTTCGCTTTTGACAGGGTGACATATGAAATAATAATTATGCGGTCGAAAGAACGTAGGTCGGAACACGTAAAGGAAATTTCCGGAACAGAAACCATTTTCATGATAACGAACGAGATTTAGGCGGACGAGGCTAGAATACCGATCACTCTAACTTTGCGCCTCCACTAGTAGTCGATTTAAAAGGTGTACAGATCTTAGCTATAATTATTACAAACCGCTTCGCTGCGTTGCACCTCGATTAGTGCACCTCGACTACGAGACTAATAGGCCCAATAAACTGCACTGTATTATTCTCAGCTCCTCACGTCGTTAATCGAGTCCGTTTGATTATAACTTTTGGACAAATCTCAGCCAATCTATTCGAACCGCGTGTGACGTCACCCCCCCATAAGCTCACGCAAACATTTATTCACCGTTGTCAGGTGAGACAGCTTGAGCCGCTCTGAGCCACTCGCGATCCGGGCGACTGGCATTAGGTCTCTGGTTCGATATGCATTATTTTATATAAAAATATGTATATTTAAATACATAAAATTGTAAAAAAATAAATGAAAAGTATTCAGGGGTATACAAGATAGATGCGGCCCGACTTGCACATCTAAGAAATTATTTTGGGGAGTTTGGTATTGCCACTGCGACACGGGTGACAATCGCTCGTACGTAATGTCGAAACGGACTCGGCGGACAGTCTGCGATAATAACCATACACTGTAGTGCATGATGAGTCGTTTTGACATTACGTATGTATAGTCTCGATTTGAAAATCCTTTTGTTTTCTCTGAAACTGTAACTCAAAAATAAGATCACATTCCGAGTTGCAAAAAAACGCAACAAAGACGATAGGAAACGAATGTCATCGAAAAAGCTAAGCGGGAACGATAGTTATCTTTGTAGATATCCTACGAATGAGTCCCTCAGCTTTATCATCGAACGTGTCCGAGGAGCGACGTCAGTAATCGTGGCGCGTCACACATTGAGCGGAATGAACGCGCGTTCGCGCACTTTGCAACCTAACAAAGTGCCAGCTCCTAACAAAGGGTCGCGTCGCCAGTCCTCGGCGGACACGCATAAAACCGCTATACCTCTACCCTGTGACGCGGTTCGGCGTAGAAGCGCAGAAAGGAAAATAAATGAGTAAAGTTGTCTCAATAATGATCTCGTTTGCGGATGCCTCTAGCGACCGAGGTCGAGTGCTCGACCCGATTGCGAATCGTATAAATAACTGGCTCGTTCGTGAACTTAATACGAATCACATCTGAAGTGCATCGGCACCTAGGCTCATTGCTGTCGCACCGCACCTTCAGAGCCTTTTCATACTATTCGTTAGGAGAAGAGAGCTCAAAAAGTACACTGCGATTGCGAAAGAGACCTTGACCCGTCGACTGAAGCGCGAAATCGGCCGTAATGCCGCGGCGGTGGCTCGTTAGTCGGCAGCTCGTCGCCGAGCGTCGCTGCCCTCGCTGACACACAACTCCGTCGCGATGACAATTATTGCAGCGGCGAGTGCGCTTTTTTTAAATACCTCGTCCCCACTCAAAAGACATCGAATGACTCGATTCTGAGAATTTCCTTCGATGAAAGGAGCCGTCGTGCTTTAATTCGGGCGCTAAATTTATTCAATTCGACGGACATCTCGCTTCTATAGGTCCTTAAGTGAAAATCCTAATTGCAGGGTTACAGTTATATCGAGGCGAGAGAAAATTTTACTTCTTCGGTTCTATTTACGTACACGTGTGGAATAACTCTAACGTAAATTTGTGATTGTTTGACGGTGTGAAGTGATGTAAATTTTAATTCTGCTATACATACTTATAATATGTTATAGGCCTGAATCGCTTGAAGCTTTTATCGCAAATAATTTCTTTACAGAACGCTAAATACTCATCGACCGATATTCAAACTCGGAATGGACTTAGATCTATTCGGTTCGACGATCAGCATTCAGTATCACTCGTCTCGGGTGCAAAGTACAAATGAAACACGATCCGTCTATCGAGGGCGAATATTAAACGCGATTTGGCCCGCCCCAAAGGAAGCGCGCGCGACCTCGCTCTGCCGCGCTTCCGCACGCCGACGCGAGTAAATGCCCTTTAATGTTATTGCACCTGTAAGTACTCGCCGGGACTGAGCCGAGATTACGAGTGAAGCGGTAAAGTTACGCGCAGCGATCGAACTAAGATACGACTCGATCGTGATTCTTGAGTGGCCTCGATAGAGCAGAAGTCGAGCGTCGAGTCATTGACATTGCAGCCGTAAATATAGAATGCACTCGATTCACTCGCTACGATTTGGGAACTTCGCGCCTGCCGTCGTCCCCGCTGAAATGCTGTTGGTCTTAGACAACGCGAGATTAGATTATTTTGCTCAAAGCGCGAGTAGCCGACGAGCGCACGTTTTGACGCGGGTCACGAGTGACATCAATAATGAAATAGCTCCAATGAAGGAGTTCCGATGCCTATCAAAAGGGGGCCGGCGGTACGGTAGCGCGACACGAACGGTTCGAGGCCCGATAGCACCCGCGGTTTATCTTATCTGCGGACGGACGAAAGCGATCAGGTACTATTTACTACATACCGAATATTGGGACATCTTATCGATAGAGGTGCGAGGATTAAGTTCTTTGACCCTCCGTCTTATCCTGGGTCAGATCGCTTGCGTTGGCGTATTACCGTAGCGGTCGTCATCACTGCGGAAGCTACTCGAGTGTTGTTCTATGTGTTAGTACCATAAACGAACAGCGGTCTGGTTTATTCGTAAATTATTTTTTATATCTGCATATCACTCCGTAGAGGCCTGTCACCTGTGACATACGGATAACGCCCACATAGCGCGCTGCGCCACAATGTCACGCGAACTGATAAGCCCGTCCTCCGAATTGACACGTCGTCCTGCGAAGGGAAGCGAAGAATTCGTGGCTCCCGAATAAAGAAAATAATAATAACGAGGCGGGTGAGGTTTGTCCGTTTGATCCGGGTCTCGCCTGTTCGCCGTCTCCCTGTTGCGGATATGACAAAAGAATTCCAATTTGTACCTTTTAATTTTATGGCAATTCCTTCCTCTAAAGCCACATTATAGCATTTGATATTGAGCTGTTGTATGTGTCGCAGGGACTCGGTGCCGATGTAAGAGGATCGTAATGTAATAAAATGTCGTTTGAAGAAGAATTATAAAGAGTATTGTAAAGCGAACGCAAGCCGGCGTTAACCGGCTCCGAAGAATGCTCTGCTCGTCGACTCCGGCATTCGGTCGTCGCAGACGTCTCACTCACTGTTCAAAAAAATCTATAGTCCTTTAAGAAATAAAATACTAAGCGACCCTTTTCGAAAATTCATTGGACTTCTCTTAATCGGACAAAGTGCCCGTGGAGCGGCTCGACAGCGCTGAGAGCGCTCTTCGCTTGACATAGCCAGCTAGAACGATATCAATTTGCGAGCGTTGTGCGATTCATTCATGAGATCGCAAACCTTGTCTCACTCGGAAAACGTAATACAGACGAACGAATCCCGCCCGCTAGTCGCCGGCGCCTGCGCATCGATTATCGTGCGACTTCGCAGAATCTAGGAAACAAGTAATGCTTATGCGAAATCGATGTAACGTGTCGATACAAAGTAAACGCAATCAGCAAAAAGACAGGCACAGTAAGCGATATCGGATTTCGCAAGAAACGTGCCTCGCACGACGCGATGCCTCACCATTGTACCTACCTATGTGGTATTTATTTTTCAGGAAGAATACAATCCGATTTCGAATCAAAATTTCGTCCTCGCCTTCGTCGCTATGGAACACTAAGATTTAAGAAAAAAATATTATGTAGACGTTTGTAAGTTTCAGAGTATATATGACATAATTTGTTATATCGATTTCATAATGCATCAGTCAAATATAGCCCACTCCCGACGTGTGGATGCGTAAACTGGGCCCGAATGGCGTCTGCGTCGTGTAAACGTTACTCTCACTCCGAGTGAACGAGCCAAAGATAGAAGCCGTCCGACTGACACACGCTCTCCGTTGTCTCAAATTGTTCAAAGCTAGGGCTTCTCGCCTTCACGGCCAACCGAAGCTACCCCAGACCGAATTCAGTATTGTAAGCGCTGTACGGTCTCCATCGCAACACTGGTATGACAACTGCCCCGCGCCCGTCGACTCGGCGACGGATAAACGGCGAATGCAGTGCTACCACGATTCATTATGAACCCGTCAATAATTATATTATGTTGTGTTTTCTGTTTATTTTGTTTCATTATATTTCGATATATGATATGAAATGAGCCAATATGTTAATACTACGTTTATAATATGTAGCCTACATCTGTTTTCAAAACTAATTGAGTGACGCCCAGCGGGTCTCATATTTTTTACGTCGCTCTCTCCGCAATGTCGGATTGTCCTAGAGATATCTACGACATTAATGTGAGCCGGGCCTTTCAGAGGATATTGCGTAACGTGGCGAGTTATAAACGCGGCCTTATTGAATTCTCGGCGGCCTCGGAGGTTGCGCTTAAATATTTACGCGTGAAGGAATCCGGTTTGCGAAAGGACAGCCTAGTCGCCGAAGGACGCATTCGAAGACAAACACGGTGGTAAGTTGCCTAGGCGAGGGGATATCATTCTACCGATAGCCACGAGAAGGGCCGATCAGTTTGGCTCGCTTCACTTCGAAGTCTTTTACTTTGCCCTCAGCCGACGGTTGCAATACAATGAGGTGTCGCGCGACGCGATCGGTCGACGGCGAACGCTCGAGGAAGTGTGTTATATGATTTTCTTCAGCTAGCGTGTAGTGGTGTACAGTGTACGCTCTGTAGAGCACTCGGATGGGTAAAGCCTTGAGGTCGGGCGAGAGGAGTAGGTGAACCCGCACTTGACCCACAAACGACGCGCAACCGAATCCGAGAGACGTCGCACGAGCGATACCACGTTCCAGTATTCCGCTCCTTGTTACGAGTTTCAAGAACGCTGTCTCCTTTTTGTCTTATAGTAATAAACATAGTAGCACGATAAATTGTATAATGTAGCCACGTCTTAATTTCGTTTAATAAAGTGTTACGTAAGGCCGTTCGATTATAAGTTCAAACAAATAAACAGTGAGTCTGAGTCTACCGGTCACAGATTTAAAAGCCGTTTAAAGTTTAATGGCATTTTGCTTTCAGTCTGTGGATTTCCGTATGTCCGAAGCTAAAGGTTGGTCGACGGCGCATCTCGTTTAAATATCATAACCGAATGGCTTCTGGGTATTTTTACCCTCCATCTGGCCGTCTCTCCTCTGTCTAAATTAAATATAATGATGTGCAACGATGATCTTTAACGCCATTACCGTTAACTACTACTTTGAAAAAATATATTGATTTATTTACAAACAAAATAATCGCCGTCGTTTCTACTCGGTGTTTGTTACGAAGGTGTGTCGATATGAAAATGGAAAAGAAATACAGGAAACAGACCGACTAGACGAAGACCGGCCGACGAGCAAACGGCGACCCGCGGGCGCGACTATTTACTTAATAGGCGATTATTATTATCGCTGTTTGCCGAGAGCCCCCTTTCGTCCAATTAAACCGATATCCGACGCCAATTGCGCTGACTGATAAGCGATAACTAGAGCGTCGATAACTCTTCTATGTCCTCTTTAATTGTGTTCTCATTTAATAGGGATTTCCTTCTCTTAGGTGAGGTGTACGGCGAAGATTTTTACCTGAAATTTAAAACGACGCACCTGTCCTCTCGCCGAAAAAACGGACTTCTTTGTGTTCACTTCACAATTATAATATTACGCACAGATGTTCTGCACGGTTACGGCTTCGAGCCTACCTGTAGTGGCAAACTCGTCGCCTATCGACTTTAGTGCGTTAGAATTAGAGTATACATTAGCGGGCACGAAAGCCCGCCTTACGAAACACTCGATCGCAAACAAAAGAATGATAGCGAGGCGATAACTGCAAACGAAGCTTCCTTCTCGTAGGGTCTAATTGAATTAGCGCGTTTTAAACCTAGAAAGGTCGATGGCCTCCGAACGAACCCACTACCGAGTAGCGAGCTGAAGATAGATACTTCGTCGGGCTCGTCATCCTATTGCGCAAAGGTAGACGATGCGTCTAAGCTGGTTCAGAAAAATATAAAGGAACACCGACTCCAGTCGAGTGGAGGTCAGTTTTATTTCAATAAAGGGACAAAATATTAGAAATACTCGTTGTTTAACTTTCCTTTTTCCAAAGCATTATTTTCCATTGACTTAATTAGTATATTCACCCACCCGCACCCGAGTCTATCTCAGCGAGAGCAGGTGTGCGCTTTGCACGTAGCGAATGCGATGACGCCGACCGGCCAGCAGTGAGTCAGGCGTGACTAATAGAGCCTTGTGATAGGCGATTTTGTCCTTACGAAAGGGACGAGCGATTCCCTCAGGTAAGCGAAAACAGATCAAATTCAGACCTATACGAGAACTTGGTATAACAGAAGTGAGATTGGGCCGTCGTGTGGGTCGCGCCCGCGAGGGTTGCCTTTGCGACATTGCCGACGTTTCGAAAGAAGCTTGTGTGCATTCGCCAAAGTTTAGCAAGAAAACAGGTATTCCGCCTTCGCGCGCCTTTCACGCGGCGGTCGGCCGGCGCCGAGAGCGGAGAGCGAGTTTATAGGGCAAGCTGCGGCGCGATCGCCCGTCCCGCGCCCCGCCGCCCCGCGCTGCATTCAGTCGGCTCTCGTCCTTTGCGAGTAGCGCTTGTGTCGTGTCACGTCGCGAAGCCTCTTCGTCCCTCTAAATATTCACGCGACCGTAAGTGCCGCATAGTGCAGTGATTAATGTGTGACGGTTTTTCTGCAAGCCGCTCGAATTTGTGTGACGAAGTGCATCGTTGTGAAACATCGTGGAACGCGAGCCGGTTCCCTCGGATGCCGGTCGGGGCTCGCTCGCGGCTCGAGCTTTCTAAACGTCGGCCGACGCGCTGCGAGCGCGATGAATACTACATGAACCTGTATTTCAAAAGGTATCGTTTATATATTAACCTATGTATGCCCCAGATTGACACGCAATCAGACGAATTAGTAGAATTTTCAATTTGAAACGGCCGATCAGTATAACAATACTTATTCCACAGAGACACGTGAATCCTGGTCGTGCTCACAAACTTTCGATACACTTTGAATGGCCGCGGTACCTCCGTACGTTAATAAATAATGTTGCGTCGTTTTAAAAATATAGGTATACCCGGTTACCGCCGACGGCCAACGATCGGCGCGTCTCAGTTGTTTTTTAAGTGACTAAGATGTAATTATTATAAGCGAGAATTTAATATTGTTAATGTACAAGTAATGCATGTAATAGTCGAGAACAGGCAAACGCTTCAAATTAAAACGCTGCGTGAACTTAAGCCGTGTTATTGAGGGTTCAGTATGTGTGCCTAATGTTTTTAAAATATGTACTATTTTCTGGTATTACTATATGAGGACTAACGACCAATGATAATTTATATACGGCGTATGAGAATAAGAAATCGGGCGAAAGAGAAGGCGATAAAGATAAGTAATCGTCGAGATAAGATTAACAAGAGGGTCTACTCGCTGCAGTCCAGCGAGCGTGGGCGACACATCGCAATATTGTACAATATTCAGCGGACAGCTGGGACCTATATATTTTGGAACCACGCCGTTCACAGAATATTCGCACTTCTTTTAATAAAAAAATAATCAAAAAATATAACAATAACAACAAAGATAACTCGCCCATTACCATTTTTATTATTTACGGTTACGATGTTTGTAATCCGCACTATTAACAGGCTTCCAATCCATTGCTGCGACTTTAGGGTTTCGAGTGACGACATCATCATCCTCATCTTCGTTTTAAAGATAATTAACCTTAATAGGAGGTCGCGTGTGTAAAATTGCCAATTAGCATCAGTTGTGGACCAAGCGGGTCTAGTATTATGAAAAGGAGAACGGGCCGATATGTGACCGTGGCCTGTGCTTTTTTACGTACGCTGGATAATAAATTAAAATGAGTTTTTTGGGCACAAGAAAGAGTGAAAAGAGAACATACACAGAAACCGCTTTAAAGAAAGCGTTAAGAAAAATTTGAGGAAATAATTTTTTGCAACAAAGTATGTACAATTGTTATTTTAAAATTAAACTGTTAAGGAAAGTAAAAAATATATAATATTTTATTACTAGTTATGGAGCGCGATGGGCGGCCTTATCTTTATTGAGATCTCTTCTAGGCAACCCTTGTTTGAAAATAAAATAAAATCAGATATTTAACGAGAAATATAAATTGGTAAGGCTAATGTGTAAAGGATATACTATTCCCCAGACCATAATGGGGGCTTTTAGTCAAAAGTTCAGAAAATTATTTCATAAATGATCGCCCAAGTCAAAAGCGATTTATAATTTTTTTGGTTGAAAATAAAGAAACCTTATTCACACCTATTTAAGTGTTTTTTTTTTCATGATAATTATGTTTGTTTGAATAGGCTTATTCTGAAGTAATGACATTCTGTCTCTACAAAATATTAAAAATAATATCATTTCCCACGATAGACGCGAACTGGATAACGGATGAACATAATTTCTAGTACCTACCTACTATACCTAGTACAACCGTGATCGGCAAAGTCGGACTCCATACTACTATAGTCGTTTAAGGAATTCTGTTTTTTGTAATTACTTGAATATTGTGTACATAGGTAGGTGACATGCAAACAAAATGCGCTGTCGACCTTTTTTGTTTTTGAATATTCGGAAAGAGAAGGGACGGTGGTTCTGGGAATATCGATATTCCTATCACCCATTTAATAGGTATTCCAGATTTTTAAAAAGAAAATATTATAGCTAAGTATATATTAACTAAATTGAAAAATTTTGGACCGGTGAGAATCAAACCCACGACGCATCGTATTATAATTCCACTAACGAGCCCGTTCAAAGACCTAGTCAAGTTTACTGTATTCATGGATGGACCTACGCTGTTTGAATGCCTAAATTGGTAATAGTATTTAGTAAATAAAGCGTTTGGAAATTCTAACGCTGGCAAGTCAATATATTTATGAAAAGATTTGTAGATATGTTGGAAAGAACGTACGTAGATACTTTAAAAACTAACGACAGCTTTCATCGGTACAATACACGTTATAAGGACGAAATAAGCGTACCGACCAGAAGCCTCCATAAAAATACTACTTAATTCTTTTCAAGGCATTTGCATATCGTACGTAACTTCAATAAAATCCCCACTGAAGTGCACGCACTCAAAAATAAGTTAATCTGTAAAACAAAAACCTGTTTGGAAAGTAACATGACGTTAACCTATACTTAAACGATAAAAATGCTCGTCTGTCAAGAAAAAGTCAAATCTTTAAAACGCAACTTGGCGATAAAAAGAGTGGCGGCGAGTTCTTGCCAGTTCTTCTCGTTCGCTCTACACCCTTAAGTTGAGATGTCTTTAGTTAACTGATGAACTGATGTGACGTTCATAGTGTACCTAGTTACCTACGTGGATTAATTATTTTTGTATCTAATCGAATCGATATCGAAGTAGTCGTAAACTGTAAAGTTAACGCTGTGACTGCAGATTTTTTAGTCCGGGGTACGTCGAAGGATGAAGGGCGAGTCGTTATAGTCGTGCGAAGATATCTCGATGAGCGAGAGGCGCGAAGGTCAGGGCGATGACCGGATGCGCAGGCGCCGCCCGATGACGTCATCTCGCACTCGCCACTACAGTTATGTTGCACAACAATCCCGCAGCAGAGGCGGGCGAAGCAGATTTAACTGTGCCTTTGAAGTCTATTAAATCTAGAGAGCGAGTGTTAGCTGCTCACGAGCATTAGGAAGTTAGGCGTTAGAAACTAAACTGAAATTCCCACTCTTAGTCTTTGGACATATGATTCCCAATTATCGCGTAACACCGCGGTCCATAGCGGCATAATGTAAAGCGCGCCTGTAAACAAATGTTATAAGATAATCGTAAACGTACCAGTGCGCTGTGGGTCGTGGGTTTAAATCCCTTAAATTCCCTTCAAAATTTTTCAGAAAAGATGCATTTGTCTAATATATAATGTCTCGTTTGCGATTATATTACATTTTCGTTAAATACTACACGAGTTTATTAATTTCACTATCGATTGTTTACTAAGAACCTACCTATTCATATACCAGACAGAGGGCGTTGATAAACTAGGCGACAGTTTGCTTAACAATTATAACGTATTGTTAAATGCTACAAAAAGTAATTATCAAGTACAATGGTTTGCTGGTGAAAGTGTATTGTGTATCACAGTGTATTTAGCCCATTTTATTCTACACATTCGTAAAGAGCGATCAGTACCGACCACCATACATTTTATTTTTATAACACTGTTTAAAAAAAAACTGAAAAATGACACAAAAATGCTCGGTGTGCGTTGTGATCTTCATTGTCACAGGCAATGCGCTATTAGCATCGAACCGAATGCTAAGGGCTGCAGTAAGACCGAGCCTAATTCGTCAGATGGCTCGTCTTCTAGTTCGAACAGTCCGGTTCGAGTCCGAGTCCGGTACAAGTGCAAACAGAACTACTGCGATGTGACTCGAGCACCAGGAGAAAAGTGTGTTCCGGCAAGACATGGAACTAGTGCATTCTATGATAAAAGTGGCGGAAGATATGTCACTGTTTCGCCAAGAGGTGTCTCAGCTTAACACCGTTTTGTCTTGCTTGAATAAACGATTCGATGACATCGAAAGCCGTATGACGTCTTTGGAGAATACTACCGAGGCGCGCATGAGTGCTCTGGAAGAAAAAGTCCGTATGTTGAAAGTGAACTTCTGGAACCACTGTTCTTACGTGGATGCCGAGATTAATGATCGAGACCAAGCAGCTCTTCGTCATGATGTTGAAATCTTAGGAATTCAAGAAAATGAAAATAAAAACCTAATTGATATTACTATATCTATAGCTAAAAGTTTGGGTGTCGATGTAGATAATCATTTGTTTAATAATAATCATTGCGTACTCGGAAAGGATTGGTTCACGTTCCATTAGCTGTTCTGACACAGAGAAGCCATCTCGCCCGCGTCCGATAATCGCTCGTTTCGCGAGGCGTGCCCCTCGAGATGATGTCTTACGTTCAGCACGAAGTATTCGCAAACGAGTGAGAACCGGCGATGGTCGCGACGAAGCGCCTCCCATAGCCTGCTACATAAATGAGCGCCTTACGAAATATAACCGCCACCTATTTTTCCGTACTCGCCAAGAGGCGAAACTAGTGAGTTGGCGATATGTGTGGACTCGAAATGGTCAAGTCTTTGCGCGCCAAACAGGGTCTTCTAAAAAATATAAACTCACTAAACTTGAAGATATTTCATCAATCTTCACTTTCACATAGATTCTCTTCCCGATTAAGAAATATAGTGCACGTAATATTTTTTATTGGTAGTTTCTTTTTTTTACCTAGTAACATAGCAATAAAGTTAATTATGTAGGAATGTAAGTCATACACAAGGCAATATAATTTATATTAGATGCAAAATTATAACATTTTCAGACAAGAAACTTGTGCGTAATGATGCAGTGCTAAATGTATGCAAGTTAAGTAATATTCCTTAAGTGTTATAAATTGAGCCATTTGAACTTGTATTTGTAAAAACCTAAGTGAAAATATAGTATGTACCTATCTATAAGAGTTTAAATTACAATTTTTGAAGTATCAGTGTAATTTCTTAAAGTGTTTGTGTGTATAATAGTAAAATAGAAAAAATGTCGAACAACCTCGCTTGCGTTAGCTTGGCCTCTGAAGGGGCCACAGAATATCAGTGTCGGGACATTAGTCCCAACGTAGCTGAGTGGCTTCCTTTTCAGAGGCAACTATATTGGTGTATTTACTTAATTAATATTTAATTAAATTTGTATGTTTGTAGAATAAGTTTTAACTGTATATATTTAACTGTCGTTTGTGTGTTGTTTCTGAATAAACGTATTTCTATTCTATTTTGGCTTTGAATATTCGGAAATCCACAGACAAAAGGGACGGTGTTTCCTGGAATATCGATATTCCTACCACCCATTTAAGAGCAGGATACCTCTTAATCGGGTCTTAGACACATAATTTATTTACTTAATTTGGAAAATTTCTGGGCCATTGTCGAACCGAAGCCTTCCTAGCCGGAATAAAAAGGACTTCTTATTCCGGCCTCGGTTGTACTTCTGTATGCTAATTTCCATTTTTATTAATTATTTTTGAATCTTAAAGTTTAATTGTATGGTGTCGTTTGGTGTCGCATAAATTACTTCAATTGGAATAATTCGATTAATTCTACGAGAACATTTCAAGAATTTTTGTTGTCTTTATGTTTAAATAACCCCATTTTGTCCAATTACAGGTACCCGAATGAGGTATGGCGGTAGGGCGCGCGCTGCTAGTGCTAGCGGCCCTGTGCAGCGCGCGCGCCGATGGCACCGGGCCCGTTCTGCGCTTCGAACAGCCCCTCTACAATGTCAGCATCCCCGAGAACAGCGCGCCGAGGACTTACGCGGAGCAGCCCCCGGGTGCGGACCCTCTCGGCCTATCGTCGCCCGAGCTCGGGACGAGATTCCGAGCGCGCATCCGCCACGGTGACCGCGACAAGTTCTTCAAAGTGGAGGAGCGACTCGTAGGCGACTTTTGCTTTCTGTCGATCAGAACTCGAGCCGGCCAAGCCGACGTGCTCAACCGCGAGCGACGCGCCGTCTACTCGCTGGAGCTGCGCGTCACGGCTCTTTTGCCCGACGGCTCCCAGCTCGAGGCGGACACCGCAGTCGCGGTGCAAGTGACCGACGAAAATGACCTCAGTCCTCTCTTCTACCCTACCGATTACGAAGTGGACGTGGCCGAAGACGCTCCTCTTCACTCGAGCGTCGTCCGCGTTTCGGCCGAGGACGCCGACTTAGGAATGAACGGTGAGATCTACTACAGTCTCGCCGAGCCCACTGAATTATTCGCCGTTCACCCGACGACCGGAGTGGTCTCGGTGACGCAGACCTTGTCCTATGCGGAGACGAGGCGCCACGACGTGACCGTTCTAGCTCACGATCGGGCTTCTCTGCTGTCGCAAGGGGAGCGAGCGCCGGCCGCGCGGGCGTCATTAGTAATTCGCGTAAAGCAAGCCAATCTGTACGCCCCCGAATTGAGTTTCCGCAAGCTTCCAGAACTGATAGAGAACTCGACGGAAGAGATATACGCGATTATACGCGCGACGGACAGAGACGTCGGCGAGCACGGTCGTATCGCAAGTCTCGACATCGTGGACGGAGACCCGGACGGTCACTTCCGATTACGCCCGTCCCTGCAATCCGGCGAATACGATCTGATCGTGCACTCGCTCTTGGACCGCGAGAGCGCGCCGCAAGGATACAACCTGACCTTACGTGCCGTCGACGCCGGACGGCCTCCGCGAGCGTCCTATCTGACCCTTCCCATCGCGCTGACCGATGTGAACGACAACGCTCCTGTATTCAGCAGGGAGATTTACGAAGCCAGCGTGTCGGAGACGGCTCCGCCTAACACGCCGGTTATCAGACTGAAGGTGTCCGATCGCGACGACGGACGAAACGCGCAGGTATATATTGAGATAGTCGGAGGCAACGAGGGTGGAGAGTTCTTCGTGAATCCGGACACGGGCGTCCTGTACACGGTGGTGCCCTTGGACGCCGAAAGCAAGTTCCTGTATACGCTAACGGTTTCCGCGATCGATCACGGAAACGCCGGCACTCGTAAGCAATCTTCGGCTAAAGTGAAAATCGCCGTGCTCGACGCTAACGATAACGACCCGATATTCGAAAGAGAAGAAATGGAAGTCACAGTCGCAGAGAACGGAGCGAGCGGAGCCGTGGTCGCGAGGGTGATCGCTCGCGACGCCGACTCCGGAGAGAACGCCTACATATCGTACAGCATAGCGAACTTACAACCCGTCCCCTTCGAAGTGGACCACTTCTCCGGGGCGATCAGGACCACGAGACTCCTCGACTACGAAAGCATGCGCCGAGAATACGCATTGCAGATCCGCGCCAGCGATTGGGGTCTACCCTACCGACGGCAGGCGGAAATGCGACTCACCGTTCGCCTGAAAGACGTTAACGACAACCGGCCGCAATTCGAGCGCGTTGATTGCGTCGGATATTTACCTCGCAGGCTTCCCATTGGCCACGAGGTATTCACGCTGTCGGCGATCGATTTCGACTCTGGAGACGTAGTCTCGTATCGGCTCACAGGAGGCAACGAGGACAACTGTTTCGCACTGGACTCCACGACCGGAATCCTCAGTCTGTCCTGCGACCTGAGCGACATTCGCAGCGAGACGCGCGTGCTCAATGTCACGGCTACCGACGGGTCACACTTCGCCGATGCGGCCTCACTGACTCTCCACCTGGTCGCCGGCAACGCGGTCGGCGGCGGTGCGGCCGACGGCGACGGCCTCGAGTGTCGCGACACCAACGTCGCTCGCCGTCTGACGGAACTGCTCGCCGCCTCGGAGCGCAGCAACGCTCCGTTGGATTTTGCAGAGGAATTTCCTGCGGCGTCGTCCCGCTATGGAGAGAATTTGCACTTTCCCGAGTTCGTGGACTTTCCCGTCGAGATCAAAGTGAACGAGTCCGTCGCTCTCGGCACCTCGCTCGTACGACTGCACGCGCGGGACCGCGACCTGGGCTACAACGGCCTACTCGTGTACGCCATATCAGCTGGCGACGCCGACTCGGCTTTCCGCATCGACCCCGACACTGGCGAGCTGAAGGTGATCGGCTACCTCGACAGAGAACGCGAAGCCGAGTACTACTTAAACGTCAGCGTGTACGACCTCGGCGCGCCGCAGCGCTCGTCATCCCGCCTCCTGCCAGTCACAGTGCTGGACGTCAACGACAACGCGCCGATCTTCGAAAAGAGCCTCGCGAGCTTCCGAGTGACCGAGAACGCGATCAACGGGACGGCCATCTTCAGAGCGAACGCCACGGACCGCGACGGCGGCCTCTTCGGCCGAGTCGAATACGAGATCATCGGCGGCTGCGACGGCGAGTTCTGCGTTAACAGGGAGAGCGGCGTCCTGGCCGTGTGCGCCGATTTGGACCGCGAGCGACGCGCCCTCTACGAGCTCACGGTGCGAGCGACGGATGGCGGTGGTCTGTCTGCGGAGGCCGTGGTGCGGGTCGCCGTGGACGACGTCAACGACAACGCGCCGCGGTTCGCTCTTGGCGCCTACAGCGCGCGCGTACGCGAAGACCTGCCGGTGGGCAGCGTCGTAGCGGTTCTGGAGGCCTTCGATCCCGATCTCGGAGAGGGCGGCGTCGTCACGTACGCGCTGCCCGACCAGTCGTCCGACGATATCACCTTCTCTGTCGACTCCACATCGGGGACACTGCGTATCGCAAAGCGGCTGGACTTTGAAGAGAGACAGGTCAGTCAAATAAGCTGTCACATAAAGCAACCGTTATATAATGCATGTCATAAGAGATTAAAGCCCAATACTTGGAACGCTGAAAAGGTGGTAGTAAACGTAACTGTTTTTTAATCTGAAACCGTTGTGGGTACCGGGAATTAAAAACCTATGATCTTTTATTTTATAATTTTATTTGCAATACTTTCATTTCGTTTTGTTTCTATTGTAAGTCTTGTTGTTGTCTTAATACAAAAAGCGAAAATCCAGTGACGAAAGACGTACGATGTGGCATTGCAGGTATACGGAGTGACGGTGCGCGCGACAGACGGCGGCCGACCGGCGTTGTGGGCGGAGGCGACGCTCATCGTCGAAGTGGTGGACGTCGACGAGAACATGCACGAGCCGACGTTCGGCGCGAGGCTCGCGCTCGTAGCGAGCATCACCGAGGACGCTGCGCCTGGAGCCCGAGTCCTCTCGGCCGCCGCGACGGACGCGGACCCGCCGGGCCGGGACTCTCGCCTCGCCTACTACATCGTCGCGGGCTCGGGGATGGCGCATTTCTCCATCGATGACACGGGTCGGTCTCTCTCTTCTCTCCTCTTCTTTCTCTTTTATCGATTGCCTAATGCACGTTTTTCTTTTAGGCCTACTCAGAACTCAAAGCCCACTCGATCGCGAAACCGTGCCGCATTACTGGGTGACGGTCTGTGCGCAAGATCACGGCCTCGTACCCCGCCAGGCTTGCATACGGGTAAGGTTATTTACTTTAGAGAGTATTTATCCGCCATATTTAGGTCTATAGATTAAACAATGTCTCTATGGGGTCGTGTCAGGTCTACATTGAGGTGGAGGACGTAAACGACATGGCACCGTGGCCGGAGCGAGCCGAGTACCGCGTCACTATTCCGGAAAACTGTCCACGCGGAACCCACGTAGCTCGGGTCACCGCACACGACGCGGACGCGAGTCGCGATCCCGTCAGATTGCGTTACTCCGTCGTCGCTGGGAACCCGGACGGACTCTTTTCGATCGACGAGGACACGGGTGCGTTCATGTTTCGTCGACACTCTAATCTCTGCTTCACTCCTGAGTACGAATAACGTTCGCCATCTCTGCAGGTGAGATCGTGACCACGGGCCGGACGCTGGATCGCGAGGCCGCGCCGGCGCACGCGCTCGAGGTGATGGCGTGGGACGGAGAACTCGGCGGATCTGCCCGCGTGCGCATCGCCCTTGCCGACCTGAACGACAACACGCCGACCTTCACGCAGAGGTTCTACGACGTGCGCGCTCCGCCCGTAGCGACGACGTCTTCTCGTCAACGAGACGCACCCGTTTTGTCTTCGGAGGCGAGCGTCGAGAGCGACGGCGAGGCGGAGGAGGACGAGGAGGGATCCGGTTCCCGGCTGCCTTGGAGCCACTGGGACGGGGACGACATAGAAGACTTCTTGTACATCGCTACGGTAACTGATAGGTTTGCTTCCAGGGCCTCAGACGGGTCAGGCCTAAGGCTTTCGTACCTAAATACAAAAATGTTACTAATTATTGTTCCATCCTTTGCAGGTGACGGCATTAGACAGCGACGCCGGCGAAAATGGAACCGTGCGGTACAGTTGGCGAGCGCGAGGGGCCGCGGTGCAGGCGCTGCGCGTGCACGCTCGTTCCGGTCGGGTCTACTTTGCGTCACACTTGCCTCTCACTCCGCATCTGGCCTACGACTTAACAGTATGTCATTATGATTGCCTTTATTAAAATACGCATGGTCGCGGATTAAATCATATATTGGAGGTTGTGGCTTCTCCTAACTTATTTGCATTCGCCGCTATTAAACTCGTATACGGCGTCTCTTACAGGTGCGCGCTTGCGATTCGGGTGCGCGACCAAAGTGTGGCGTATCCCGCGTGCGAGTTCGAGGGGCGACGCGTCCAGGAGGCGGGAAAGCGCCAGAGGTGCGCACGGTGAGCGGGGGAACGCTGCAGGCGGCCGAGCTAGACGCGCCCGGCTTCCTTCTCGCGCTGCTGCAGGCGACGGACCCGGACGGCGACCCCCTTTACTATGACATCGTCGACGGCGATCCCGAGAGAGATTTTGTAGTGGGGCGCGAGGACGGCAGCTTGGTCGTGGTGCGGCGTCTGCTTTGGGAGCGATGCGCCTTTTATCGACTCAACGTGTCCGTGAGCGACGGTACGTACACCGCGCACACCGGGCTGGACGTGACGGTCGTTAACGACGCGAACGAGGGTGGCGTGCGCTTCTCGCAGGAGCAATACGAGATTTCTGCGTCGGAGGCTCTGCCCCCGGGCTCCCCGCTCGTCACGCTGCAGGCCCGCGCGGGCGTCGACTCTCGACTATTGTACGGGCTGCACGCGACGCGGGCTCCCGCAGACCTCGCTCTCTTTCGACTGCACGAAATCACCGGCGTGTTGGAGCTAGCTAAGCCGCTAGACAGGTGAGGCGCAGCCTAGACCTATTGCCATATAATACAGAGTGATTTTTCGTAGTCAATATTGATCAGAAGGCTAACGAGATATGTCGTTCCCGCGGAACAGAGAGACTTCTGCGCTGCACGAGTTGACCGTCTGGGCGCGCGACCAGGCTCCGCGGACTTCGGTCGCATTCGCGCGCGTCACCGTGCGGGTGCAGGGCGCCGACGAGCACGCTCCCGAATGGGGCCGAAGACTGTGGGAGGCGCGAGTGTCTCGCGGGGCGGGCGCCGGCTCCTTGGTGGCCCCCCTGCGCGCCGCCGACCGCGACTCGGGCGAGGCGGCTCGCGTGCGTTACTCCCTCGCAAGTGGCAGTTCTCTGTTCGTTGTGGACCCGGTGCTGGGCGACGTGCGTCTGGCGCGTCCGCTACCTTCCACTGGCCCCTCCGAGTACACGCTGCACGTGCGAGCCTCGAATCTGCCACCGGCCGGCAAAGCTTCCACTCTTCCTCTCCATATCCTCGTTGTCGAACCCGACGACGAGCCGCCCAGGTATTCCTAGTGAAGAAAGAAGCGAGAATGGAAGAATTTATTGTATTTTTTATTGTTTTTTTTTTCTTGTGTGTTTGCCTTAAAAAATATAATACAAGTCGGTTCCTTTAACCCTTTATACTTAACTTTTATATGTGTGGATTAAATGACTCCATTTTTTTAAACGTTTTCGCGGTCCTCGTAAATAACTCATTAACGGTATCGTGCAGATTTCTGTCAACCGAAGTGAAATGCGAAGTATACGAAGACGCGGCGCTCGGAACAGTCGTCGGGGCTCTCGAGGCCCGTGGGGGCTCCGGGCTTCGGTACGCTCTGAGCGGGGGCCGAGGACACTGGCGCCTGCATCCGGCGGCGGGGCTTCTTACGGTCGCGGCGCCGCTCGACTACGAAGCTTGCGCAACGTATAACCTCACCGTGACCGCATTTAACATGGTCAGTAGGGCGCTTGCAGTTAGCACGCGGAATGTTCCGAAACGTGCCTTTTACCGAACTTTTCACTCGCAGGGCGGAGGCAGCGCCGAGGCTCGCGTCACCGTTCGAGTACTAGACAGAAACGAGTTCCCGCCGACATTCGAACGGTTGCACTACCGCGGGGTGGTGTCGGAGGCGGCAGAGGTGGGCTCGCTGGTGTGGGAGGCAGGTGTCTCCGCGGACGGCGCGCGCGCACCGCTCGTGCTGACCACTCGAGACGCGGACTCGCCTGCGAATCGCCAGCGCGTTTTCCGCGTCCTCGACCCGATCGCGTCGCGCCTCTTCCGCGTCCACCCGCTCACGGGTGCGCTGCAGATCGCGGCTGCGCTTGATTACGAATTTGCCCGAGTTCATCGCTTCTCCATCGAGGTAATAACGCGTCAGACCCGGGCGGACGGGAGAGCCGACGTCGCTCGACACCACTACGACTGGCCTTTTGCTTTTTACAGGTCGTCGACGCGGGAGACCCGAGGCTGCAGTCGGCGAGCGTAGCCCGCGTGACCGTGGAGGTCACCAACGTCGACGACTGCCCGCCGGTCTTTTCGCAGCCGTCGTACGAGGCAACGGTGCTCCTGCCCACGGCGCGCGACGTCTCCGTGCTGACAGTGGCGGCGCACGATCCGGACGGCCCGGGCTCACTCCGCTACGACGTCATCGACGGAGACGCGAGGGGCGCTTTCTCGCTCTCCGCCGAGGGTCGGCTGACGGTGGTCGACCCGGACGCGGTGGCCGGCTCCCCCGAACACCAGCTTCACGTGCGCGTCTCCGACGGCGCGCTCTCGAGCACGGCGCGCGTGCGAGTGCGCGTCCGCGACGCCGACAACTCGGGCCTCGCCTTCCAAAAGACCGATTACTACGCTTCGCTGGTGGAGAACTCGACGAAGCTCGTGACGGTGGCCGTCCTTAACGTGCTGGGAGCCGCGCTCAATGAGCACCTCCAGTTCTCGATCTTGAACCCCGTCGAAGGATTCCAAGTTAGTGGAAATAATTGATTATAGAACAAAGTAAACTAATTTACTACTATAAACTACACAATAGCATGTAAGACTTAAGATTAAACGGTGGTTTGTAATATAATCTTAAAAAAATATATAAGGTTATTAGTGAAATAATAATACTTTAGTGGTTTCTGAAAAAAAAATAGTTTATTTACATAACGTTTAAATGACAGATTATATAACGAGTAGGACACTGGCGCGCCACCATGCGACAAACCCTAAAACTAGTGGCGCGCGCATATTTGAGAAACATAGTGAACTTTTTGTGGCTTTTTAAGCGAAATATAAAGATTGCGTAAGAAAAGTTTATTTTTTTACTGAACTTGGTGTGCCCCATCTGTTGCTCTTTTAGAATAGAATAGAAATCAACATATGAGCAACAACACAACATTTACTGTTATAAGATTTTCCACCAAACATAATATAGGGCGTCATAAGACGAAGAAGCTGAAGAGTTTGTTTGTTTATACGCGCTAATCTCGGGAAGTACGGGTTCGAATTTGATAACTCGTTAGATCGTTATAATAATAAAAATTGTGTATGAAAGAATGACTCCCCTTTAAATGATATTAAGAAAAGTCCGCGATGCTATATGTCTATCTTTTAAGATTAACTTGCAAGAACGACCCGAACCACGGGACGTGTACGACGGGATACGAATATCGTGGGTAACAGCTATCTACACTAATATTATAAAGAGGGAAGATTTGTATTTTTGTATGTAACGGATAAACTCAAAAAGTACTGGACCGATTTTAATAATTCTTTTTTCATTAGAGAACTACATTATCATTGAGTAAAATAGACTATACTTAGTAATAGATTACGATAGAAATCTTTAGAAATTTCTATTAAAAGCAACGGGATGCGTAAAAAAATTAGCCATAAAATGTCTTTCATCGCATACGCTGCGAAGAGTATTAATGATAGGGCCAAAAAAAATTCGACAATATTATAGAATATATCAATATATACAAAAAATATAACGCGAGACCATATGTCTAACTACTTTTTTTGATTCGATTCGATTCAGCCGTTCAGTGTCTACTGCTGGACATAGGCCTCCCCCTTTTTTACTTTTAACAAATTGATAGAAATGCCGAACAAAATAATATTATAAATGCGAAATGAACTCAGTCTGTCTGTCTGTGCGGCTTTAACTCCGAAACTACTGACTGATCTAAATGAAATTTGGTAAATACTTATTTTAGAGCCTGAGAAAGTGCATGGCACGACATGGATAAGGCTACTTTTTAATGCCGAATAAGGGTTGATAGGGATTGAATAAGGGATGAATGTTTGTATGAAAATTTGTGGTTTTTGAAGCTAGAACAGTGAAACTTTCTTCTTTGGCTTTTGGAGTGTAGGAATGAGAGTGGGAGTTAGAGTTAGGAGTGATGTGATGTGAGAGTGTTGCGGCAAAGTAGCAATGTAATTCTAAAGTAATGGACATTTGATTGAACCGGGTCACTCGGCCGAGTACTCGGTTAAAATAATTGAACCGATTAAAACTCGGTACTTGTTACTCCGCGCATAAGCTACATAAAATGTGTTCTGCATTTATCTAAAAATATTTAATGTTTTCTTATTTAACACTCTAAACCTACATTTTCTTCAAAAAGAATTACCTGAAAAGAAAAGACAAATTAGGTTATTTTGGCAACCTCTATTCTTAATAATTAAAGTGGTACGGTACTTATTTTTACATTCTCCATATCACACCATTTTAGGGTTTTTATGTTGAAACCCGCCATTTTGATTATATTTATACAATAAAATCTTCGCCAAGAAGTCAATTTACGGATCTTACGTAAATTAACTCACTTCATACATGAATCATATCTTATCACAATGATCTAGGTAGTTATTTATCTAATAGTAGTTTTTAAGATGTTTTCACGTTATCAGGTGGGCGAAACGTCAGGTGCGGTACGCAGCACGGGCGTGCCTCTGGACCGAGAACTTCGGGACTCATACACGCTTCTAGTGCGCGCGCGCAGCGCCTCTAGTGGCATCGATCGCGTGGCACACACTAGGCTCACGGTGTCGATCACCGACGTGAACGATAACTGTCCGGTCTTCGTGGAGCGGCCGTACGCGGCGGCGGTGCTGGCCGGCGCCGAACCGGGCACGCCCGTCCTCAGCGTGAAGGCCGTGGACGCCGACGCGAACGACAACGGCGAGGTACGCTACGAGATGAAGCGCGGTCACGGCGAGCTGTTCCGCGTCGACCGCCGGACGGGCCTCATCGCGCTGAAGCAGAGCGTCGAGGCGCGCGGCGAGCCCTACGAGCTGCTCATCGGCGCCTTCGACGGTGGTGTGCCGGCTTGCGGTGCCGAAGCGCCGGTGTCTGTCCGCGTATGGGGCGGAGGTGGGGCGCCGCGTTGGAAGAGCGCCCATGTGTCGATCGCCGTCAGGGAAGACGTAGTGCCGGGCGTGCCGCTCGCGCCACCCTTGCACGCCATTTCGCCCCTCGCGCGGCAGCTCATCTACACACTGCACGGGGACTCCGCCGACCTCTTCGAGATACACTTTGAAACCGGTGAGCGCTTCCCTCGCCTCCTCTTCTCCCTCCCTTCGACCGCCTCTACTAACCGATTTGTCCGTTTTGTCCTGCAGCCCGAGACGGAGGGACGAGTCCGTGTAAGTACGAGTGGCGCGTGTGCCCTGATATCGTAGCTAACTCATGCGCTTTGACCGATTCGTGTACCCGGCTTCCCGATTCCAAAGAGAGCTTGAATTGTTATTTTCGCTACTTTTCGTTTAAACAATCCCACGCATCACTCGACTCACAATGGGGCCGAATAGGTCACACTGGCACTTTTCGTTTCATTCGCACTGTATCGTTCACGCTTCATCGGTCTCGTATCACAACAAAAAGCCATTCGCTGCGCAGGCACGCTGGTGGCGAGCGGGACGCTGGACTTCGAGAGCGCTCGGAGGCACGAGGTGACGGTGCGCGCGACGGATGGCGTGACCGGCGCTCGGGCCGACCTCGCGCTCACCGTCGATGTGCTCGACGTGAACGACTGCGCGCCAGAGTTTGCCGAGGAAGAGTACCGTGTCGAAGTCTCCGAAGCGGCGTCGCCGGGCGATCGCGTCGTAGCCCTCGTCGCCGTCGACCGCGATTCCGGTAAGCCATCTTCTACCGTACCGGAGGGCGGAGGTCCCGGCCGCTTTCTAATTTTGAGCTCTTCTCGTAGGGAGAAACGGAGAGGTATCGTATTCTCTGTCAGAGTGGAATGGAGACGAAGAAGGAAGTGGCGGTGAGTCGCGGCACTTCACAGTGGAGAAGTACTCGGGAACGGTGCGCGTGGCGACGCCGGTCGACCGCGAGACTCGAACTCTGCACCACCTGCTGGTCACGGCGGCGGACGCCGGTCACCCGCCGCTCCGCACCACCGCGCACCTCCTCGTCACGGTGCAGGACGTCAACGACTGCGCACCGCGGATAGAGCGTGCCGTGTTCGCGGCGTCCCTCTCAGCGGAGGCGGCAAGCGGAGTCGCGTTGGCGCGCGTGGTGGCCTGGGACCCTGACGAGCGCGACGCGTCGCGGCTCCGTTACGCGCTGAACACGGAGCGAGGTAACCGCGCCGAGCGCGCGCTTGCGCTGGACCCGCGCACGGGCGTGCTGTCGCTCTCGGAGCCCCTGGCCTTGAACGCGAGCGCTCGCTCCATCAACGTGTCGGTGACGGACGGCGCGCGCGCAGCTTACGCGCGGATCAAGCTGTCGCCGGCGCCGGCCAACCTCGCTCCTCCACATTTCCCGCATCTCATTCACGAGGCTCGAGCTCTGGAGAACCAAACGCCGCCTCTCCTCTTGACGACGGTCGGTCTCTCATTTATCTTTGCTATTGTTTTTAAAACTATAATCTTAGATAAAACACTTTAACGGTTTAAAACGCGATATATTTTTGTTAAACTTGTTTAAGAATTCTTTTTAACTACGGCCCGACCTGTCGGATGCTTTGCAGAAGTATATATATATATTAACTTCTATACTAAGTGTGATCTACAATACATTTTATACGATTAATTCAATTACGGTCCATTTAGGTGAAAGCTTTCGACGATGACGCTGGAGACTACGGAAGCGTCACCTACTCAATCCCGTCGGCCAAACTGCGCGAGACCTTTTCCATCGACGCGACGAGCGGCGCTCTGAGCGCGCTCGTTCCGCTAGACCGCGAGGCGCGCGCCGAGTGGCTCGTGCCCGTGCTGGCGGCGGACGGCGGTGCCCTCCTGCGATCCACCGCCGTGCGCGTGCGTGTCTTGGACCGCAATGACAACGCCCCGCTGTTCCCGCTGCGCGAGTACCGCGCCGCGGTCCGCGCCTCTCGCCCCCCGGGCGCTCCTTTCCTCACCCTCTCGGCGACCGACGCCGACTCGCCCGAGCACGCGCGCCTCACCTACTCTCTGCGAGAGCCGCTCGTCGAGTCCGCCGAGGCCGGCCTTTTCGCCGTCGACCCGCTCACGGGTGCGCTCTCGCTGGCACGCAACGCTTCGCACCTAGGTAAGTGTGGTACTATTATACGTTATTCACTTGGTGCCACTATTATATATAAAGCTAAAGTTTGTTTGTTCGAATTGACATAATTATTGAGGAAGGCTTATAGGATACGAAATGTAAAATTTAAAAAATTACAATGGCAACTCCCAAAACAGGAGCCGCTCAGCATAACGTTACAAACACGCTTGTGTTGCAACACTGATCTCCAGTGGCCCCCAGCGCCACCGCTCCAGAGGGACTATCAAATATGCTCTATAAACTTGTACACTTTAAACTAAAATAACAACTAATGCGATGAACAAATCCTATTCTACAATAAACACACATATATACATCTAACGAAATGTAAATGACGTAGAGCAGCTCTTAATAATCATATAAGAAAAATATACAGATATGAAATCAAATAAAGAGATTAAGTTAAACTAGAAGAAAAGTGATGCTTGAGGCCTTCTATGCCTTTTGCATAAGTTACAGCACAGCTGTGTGAAAACTAGTGAATTCAAGAACAAGAGACTTGGCCAGTCTTGGTCTCGGTCTTGGCCTTGTGCTTCGAGTCATGGTCTCGGTCTCGGTCTTGCAGCAAGAGAATGCTTGCGCTAAGTCCTAGCTGCAAAACACAAGAGTCTGGCCGGATTAGTCTTCTTCTTGCTCAAGTCTCGCAAGGTCAGTCTTGGGATGTAATGCAAGGACAAGACCAAGACTGAATTTGGACAACAGTAGTGAAAATCAATGAAAATCGATGTTTTGTCACGTTAATATCCATGCACATCGCTATACCAAAAAGGTGCTTGTACAAATTAGTAGGTATTAGCAAAGAAGTATACTACAATAAAGCCAGTGAAATCTCTTGTGCATGTATTTGAAACTTAGTAGTGATATAATAATATTATTGTTCGTGACACAAAAGAAACAAAAATTTAGCTTATTGATTTTTAAAAAATGCACCCGTTTACAGTGGGGAGCAGCGTGCAGGCGTGGGTGGTGGCTCGAGACGCGGGCGGTCTGGTGGGTGAGACGGCGGTGTTCGTGTCTCTCGTGGACGCGGGTGGCGGGGTGCGCCTGGTGCCTCCACCGCCGGACCTGTTTCTCCGGGAGGACGCTCAACATGGGACGCTGATCGCGCAGCTGCGAGCTCCCGCATCGCCTCTGCCGCGCCTGCGCCTCGCCCCCTCAAATCTTCACTCGGACTCCCTCTTTGAATTGGACTATTCCGGTCGTCTGTCACTCTCCGGAGCGCTCGACAGAGAAGCGGCCCAGGAATATATCATAGGTAAAGATTATGTTGGTGGCCACGCAAGTACAAATCTCGAGTGCGAATGAAATACCCCGACGTGTACTTCTAATGTAACGTTTAAACGACAGGCATCATCGCCGAGGAGGAAGGTAGCCCGGCGACGGGGACCACAGTGCAGACGCGTCTCCATGTACTAGACGTGAACGACCACGCCCCGCAATTTCACTCGCAACCTTATGGCCTGCTTCTCGCCGAGAACACGCCGGCCCACTCCACCCTCGTGCAATGTCAGTATCTAGCGGAGACTCCGAGACGCTCCATTTTAAAAAATAAGTCTCAACATGCATGGCTTTCGCTAACCCCTGCTCTGCTCGCCGAGACTCCAACCCGGTGAGTCCGGAGGGAGCGGGATATGGTTTGGTCCAATTTTGACGAAGTTCACTCCGCAGTGATGGCAGACGACCCGGACTCGGGTTCGAACGGTGAAGTGCGCTTCTCGCTGGCTGACGAAAATTCCGAGAGCGGGGAGACGCCGTTCGCAGTGGACGCGAGCGGGTGGCTCCGCACCGTGTCGCCTCTGGACCGGGAGAAACAGGCCGAGTACCGCCTGACAGTCGTGGCGACCGATCAGGGAGCGCGCCCTCTCTCCGCGCGTACGGAGCTGCATATCAAACTCAGAGATTATAACGACTGCCCCCACGTCTTCGACCGGCGCGTCTACGATGCGGAGGTGAGCGTCCTTCCTTCCGTTTCTCGCCCAAATAGGCGAGCGTTTTCTCTAAAGTGCGCGTTCCGTTGCAGGTGCGCGAAGACGCCGCCGCTGGTACCGTGGTGGCGCGCCTGGCGGTGCGAGACTCGGACGAAGAGGCAACTGCGCTGACATACTTCGTAGCCGAGGGAGATCCTAGGGCGCGGTTCCAAGTCCGACCTTCGGGCGAGGTCATCGTCGCGAGGGCCCTCGATCGCGAAGCGGAGGCGTCTTATAGCCTCTCGATCGCTGCGACCGACGGCAAGTTCACCGCCTACACCGCGCTAAGACTCGGCGTCCTCGACGTGAATGACAACCCGCCCTACTGCGTGCACCACCGCCTCGGAGCGCGGCTGCGCGAAGACGCGTCGTTAGGCACGCACGTCGCCGTCCTCGAGACGCGCGATTCCGACGAGCCGCCCAACGCACGTTTGCGCTATTATCTCACAGGGGAATACGCCGAGCATTTCACCATCGACAAAGTAATTTATTTATCAAACTCTAACTTAAACCATTTAATGCCTTACAGAGTTGTCCCCGATGCGGCGGTATATTAAAATCAACCTTTGCCTTTTTCAGGAGAGCGGCACGATAACGGTGGCGCGCGCCCTGGACCGCGAAGCGGTGCCGCGCTATCGGCTTATCGCACACGCGCAGGATCGCGACCGCACCTCGTGGGGCTGCAGCAGCGAGCTGAACGTGGTCCTCGACGACGTGAATGACAACGCGCCCGAATTTTCTTCGCCCATCTACAGCGTCACTCTACCTGAAGACGCCGACCTCGGGACTCTGGTCGCCAAGGTGTGTCATCTGTGTGTGTGTCAACCGGTGGGGCGACGTTATAGACTCAACACAAGAGGCGCTTGCGTTCTTCCTATCCTTAACACTAACCGAGCCGTTTTTAGCTTGAGCGCGTCTTTGCTGAAATAGAATTGGCATACAGTAAATTTACTTTTTATTTAAAAGTCTACCATACTAGACTTTAATTAACAGACATGGTTTAAATAATACAAAGAAAATATCTTAAAAATTGAGCTCATCAATATGCATGCACGGCATGCGAGTAAAGAGTTAATAATAATTAAATTCCTTAAGTCCTAAGACCTTAAGTCGAGTAACTTCTATGTGAAATCTTGGAGTCACTCTTGATTCCAAGCTACAATTCAATGTTCATATTGATTAAGCTTTCAAAATATTAGGTTTCATATTACGAATTTCCAAGCCTTAACAATATATTATTATTATTTAACGCAAATGTAGGTAGTTTATTAGAATTTTGTAGATTAATTAATAGAATTGAAAAAGTTGGAATTTCGTAAATTATGAATTGAGTTCCAACAGACACAACATCAAGTCACTAAGGTCACGCCGTGATTATTTAGATGCTATTTGTCTGTACAAACTAAAACATAGCAGTATAGACTCTATACCTATTCTCGAGCAAATCGGTTTAAAAGTCCCCCGCTCTTCTTCCCGCATCAAGGAGACGTTTCACATTCCCATAGCGAGCACTAACTACGTGAAAAATCTATTTAAATCGTAGTTTCAAAATTATTGTTATCACTTTCTTGTTCTTGTTCCTAAGATATTTCTTTTACTGTGTTATAGATTTGTTGTATTTCCGTCCAGTATGTTTAATTTAGTGAAACTTCAGCTCTATTTGTTTCACGTTTTAAGTAATCTATTGTTTTGTATGTGACTGTTTGTCGTTTCCAAATAAAATAAAAATAAATACAATCTAATACTAATATAATTATTATTGCAGAGTAAAATTTCATTAGGGATTAGCCGCTTTACAGTATGTGCCCCTAGTTTAGTATTTTCTTAGATTTTTGGGCATGGGGCAAATTTTAAAATTAGAACTCGTGGAATCAGAAAAGTAGAGTTGAGTCTTCGCACTCCCCTCCTCACATAAACGGGTTAGATTCCTGACATCTTTAAAATATTATTATGACGACTTACTAATTTATTTATTTTGTTCGGATATAATGCACGCTAAAAATCAAATGATCTGATGATGACTTTCAGGTGCACGCCTCCGACGCCGATCTAGGCGAAAATCGATCCGTTCGATATTCTTTCGTGGAAGACAACGATTACTTCGAGTTGGCGGCGGACAGCGGCATCGTGACGCTCAAGGCACCTCTAGACCGGGAGACGCAGGCCGAGGTGCGGGCCATAGTGCGCGCTCAGGACGGGGGCCGACCGCGGCGCTCGGGAACGGCTGTGCTGCGGCTCACCGTCGCCGACGTCAACGACAACCCGCCCGAGTTCGAGCTGCGCCAATACGAAGCCGCCGTGCCCGAGCTCGACGCGTCCGGGACTGAAGTGCTGCGCGTGCGCGCGCTCTCGCGGGACACTGGCGTCAATGCCGACGTGTACTACGCTCTCGTGGGCGGAGACGCGCGAGAGGACTTCGCTATCGATCGACTCACCGGCGTCGTCTCCGTCGCCCGCCAACTGGACTACGAACGCCGACGCCAATATCTGCTGACAGTGCAGGCGCTCGACGGCGGGGTGCCTCCGCTCAGCGACCACGCCACGCTAAACATCACCGTCCGAGACGGGAACGACAACGCTCCGCTATTTTCGCAGCGCAAGTACGAGGCGCGCGTGCGAGAAGACGCGCCCAACGGCACTCGCGTGCTGCAGGTGATCGCGGACGACGTGGACGCCGGAGACAACGGTCGCGTCGCATACTCCTTGGCGCGCGGAGTCTCCGAAGGTACTTTCGTCATCGACGTCGACACCGGCTACTTGTCGGTCGGGGCGCCGCTCGACCGCGAGACTGCGCCGCGCCACACGCTCGAAGTGCGCGCCAGAGACCGGGGCGTGCCCGCACTCGAGTCGACCGCGCTCGTTGACATCGAAGTCGTCGATGCCAACGACAATCCCCCCCTCTTCACTCAAAACAACTATTCGGCCGTCGTGCAAGAGGACAAGGCCCTGGGGCATCCGATACTGAAGTTCGTTGTGAACGACGCCGACGGAAGCCCCAACGGCGCACCGTACACGTTCGACATCCGGAGCGGAAACGAGATGGGCGCTTTCAGACTGGAGCAGGATGGGCTCTTGCGCTCGGCCACTCGCTTCAACCATCGCATCAAGGATCGTTACGTGCTGCAAGTGCGCGTGTTCGACAACGGCACGCCGCCTCTGTACTCGGACGCGTGGGCGTACATAAAGATTATCGAGGAATCGCAGTACCCGCCCGTCGTCACGCCTCTCGAGATCGTCGTCAACTCCTACCTGGACGAATTCCCCGGCGGGCCGATAGGTCGCATCTTCGCGTCGGACCGCGACGCCTACGACACGCTACGATATTCACTCGCGCCGACCGACGGCGCCCCGTACCTCGGCTCCGACCTTTTCGAAATCCAGCCGACAGACGGCGTCCTGCGTGCCGCTCCGCGCCTCGACGTCGGCGATTACAAGCTCAACGTTACAGCGGACGACGGAAAGTTTACGGGGTTCGCAGTCGTCAAGATTTCGGTCGTACTTTTGTCGGACGAGGCGCTCGCGAGTGCTGTCGTCGTCCGCTTCCGGGAAGTGACCGATCGGGACTTCGTTCTAAGCCACCGGAAAGGATTCATCCGAGCCGTGCGCGAAGCGACAGACTGCGAGCCGAGCGACGTGATAATAGTCAGCGTTCAGCCTTCCGAAGATGAGGAGCGACCTAGGCGGCGGCGTCAGATAGCGCAAGATTTAGACGTCGCGTTCGCGGTGCGCGCGTCTGGCGCCGACGGTTTCCTGTCCGCCGACTCGCTACGGCGACGTCTGCATGCACATCTAGAGAGACTCGAGGAGAGGACCCGTCTCATCGTGGAGGAATTGGTCCGCGCCGGTTGTGGGGGCTGCGCGCACGGGGCTTGCGTCGAACGCGTGCGACTGCGCGCCGCCGTCCAGAGACTAGTCGCGACGGACGTGTTCGCGTTCGTCGCGCCTGCTCATACCCTACGCGGGGAATGCTCCTGTTCGCCCGGCTACTTCGGGGAGCGGTGCGAAGACGTCGCGATAGCCGCAACGAGGGCGACGTGCGATTGCGGCGCGGCACACTGCGACCCGTGCTGTGAAGACGATTCGTGTGGGCCTGTGGTGCAGCTGCGCGGCGACGGATATCTGATCTATCGCGTCGATCGCGGCGTGGTGCAAGGAGCGCGGTTGCTAGACGACGAGCTGGTCGCGTCGATGAGGGTGAGGACGCGAGCACCGCGCGGGACTCTTTTGTGGGTGGGGGGGTCCGTAGACTTTCTCACGCTAGAAGTGGTGCAAGGGCACGTGCAAGCGCGCTGGCAACTGGGCGCGGGCGAAGCGTCCGTGCGTGCGGGAGGGCGCGTGTCGGACGGCGCCTGGCATGAAGTGAGGCTCGAGAGACGCGGTGCGGCCGCGCGGCTCACGGTCGACAGACGCTCAGCGCACGCGCAGTCGCCGCCGCCGGCTGCAGTGCTCGACGTGCGACTCGATCGACTGCTCGTCGGCGCAATTTTAGAGCGACATGCGCACGCGCTATCTACAGAACAGGTGTGTAAATATCCCTACTTTGGTACATATTCCGGTGCGCAGGTATACTGCTTTCAAGAAACCAATCCGGAATAGCCCGCGCAGATAGATATCAAACATGACCTGATTACTAGATCGTGAATTTAATTAAAAGGAATCAGAATTATGTAAGGCAGGGTGTATTTGTGTTTTGTTATTGCACTTTTAACAGAACTATGCATAAATTAATGGAAAAAAATCTTATAATATTAATTAAGACATGAAACACAACAACAAGGGCAGGACAAGGGCGAATAATTTTTTGATAGCTGCGGATTAATTACATACAAAGCCAAATTTCTTTACCTATTTACTTGGTCGTATTAATTCTTATTAATGTTGATATAATCGGGAGCCGAAGATTTCTTATTGGATAGGGGACATTTATTATTATTTATTTATTTATTTATTTATTCATTTATACATAAAGCATTTACAGCAAGAGCCAAAACATGCAGTACGGGAAAATTAGCTAGGAATCTTATCTAAGAAATATATTAATACGTCTAAACTTAATACGGCGGTCAATTAAATACTTTCTGTAGTTTACGCGAGTAGTACGCATTAGATAAAACACTTTAACGGTTTAAAACGTGATATATACTATATTAGTTAAACTTATTTAAACATTATTTGAACAACGGTCCGACGTTTTGGAAGTGTTGTAGCAGCCGTGGTCACGGGGAGACTAAAGATTGAGGATGTCTCTGACGTCAAAGTAAAAACCGTTACGTTGGCGCCATCTGTTCCGTCGAAAAAATAACATCTATTTGGTGAAACTGGCCGGGTCCATGCAGAATTGACTAACGATGTCTTCGCGTTTTTTGGAATGTTGTTTATAGGAATCCAGAATTTTTAATATGGTTTTTATTATCAGAGTGATTGATAATAGCATACTGAAATTTTGGAAGCGTCGTTTGGAACCCACAGTACTCTTATCATGTAACCCGCATTCAACGTATTAACCGCCGTTTCACCAAACATCTTTGCTCCATGACCAGAGACATTAATTTTAAAGTCAATGACGAAATCAGGTTACAGCACTTTAAACTTAATAAGTTATTCGATAGACGCCGAATGATTAACCACTTTTTTTTTTTTTTAATTTTAAATAATAAGATTGATGCCCCTAATATATTAAGTAAAATCCAGCTTAATGTCCCAAGAAAAAGTTCAAGACTGAAACAGTTAAAAGTATTTTATCTTCATACACCAAAAACTAACGTAGGTCGAAACTGTCCATTGTATTGGATGTGAGACCCTTAATAATGTCACGCGAGAAACCGACGCTGATCCTTACTTTGATTCTTTTACACGATGTAAAAATAAAGTATTGCGACTACAGACACTTTATTATAATTAGGTTCGAATTCTGTACTCTAAATATTTCGAAACACTAATATTTAAGTTAACAATGCATCAGCAATTGGGCCCTACATAGGTATTTTAACTTATTGTGATGTTAAGTACATATAATGAATTACATGTAAGTGATCTGCTGATGCTGATAATGATAATAAATAAATATACAGAGGCCGTCCCCGTATTAATTTTGTCCGCTATTGAAATTACTGTGTTTCTTAATTTGGATTGCTTCGCGTACCAATCTTGGAAAAAATCGACTCCTGTTTGCGAGGATTTCTGGTTGGTCAGATAAGTATATATCTAATCTGCGGTATGTCACCGCAATTTTAGAGAGACGTTTATGTTTTATATCTGCGATGTGTTTCTTAATTCTGTTAGAGACGCTACGTTTTGTTTGGCCGATGTAGGGTAATTCACAATCACAATCCAGTCAACGTCTGCATTTTGAGAGACATTTGATTTGAGTACATTTGGTAGGTTTAACATTTATGGGCTTTACTTATACGCCGGTCTATGTTGTTTTTGCACGTGCATAGCTAGCAATTTTAAATCTATGTCAGCGTCGTGCTGACTTCAACGTTTATATTATAAGCAAATTTACAGGGTTATCTTATTGAGCATCCTACTTTCCTACTTTCTTGTAAATTATATTTAAGCGATATTAATAGGAAATAAATCAGTGGCACTACAGCACTCATTGAGTTTGGTTACTTCGCCTCCCTCTTAATCTTAACCTTTATTACATCAAATCACTTTTAATAATTTGTATAAATAAAAAATGTAATTAGGTTTTTATTGGGTTTTTTTGATACATAATATACAAACTCCTAATTCTATAGACAATATTGATTGCGTGTTTTAGATGTTAACTAGCGACATCTAGTTACAATGTCACAAAACAAACTTATTCACTAACAGCCGTTAACTCTACAGCATAACGTTAGCAAATACATTCACGTATACTTTTCCGAACTGTTATAGGCAACAGTCTCTGGTACCCGAAACTCGGGAGTATACGCTAAACTGTTCTAAACTACAACTGGTATAGATTTTTCACTGATCATATCGAGTGCTAGTAAAAATTTCTCTTCTTTACATCATGTATCACCAAATCAAAAATCATCACAAAAAATGCAATTTTCTTAATTTGCTAAAAATAAGGTGTTTCCAAGCATAGACCATTAAAAACATACTTTAAATTTTTCAGATAACTTACGCTTTCAATGGATGCATAGCTGATATAAAGATGGGAGGATGGAGCTTACCGGTGGAAGTAGAAGGATCCACTCGCGATGGGCGCGTGCATCTGACGCGCAGTGTCCGTGCACGAGTCAGTTCCGAGTGCGATGGACTGTCGTCACCCGGCCCATGCTCAGCCTATCCCTGCCTGCACGGGGGCACTTGCCGCGAGGCGGACGCTCCCGACGCGTACACGTGCACGTGTCACGGTCGCTATCGGGGCCGCGACTGCGAGCAGGACACCGACCCGTGCGCGTCGCAGCCGTGCCTCCACGGAGGGGTTTGCTCATTGGCGCTCGACGTCGCAGAAGGATATCGATGCGCGTGCGCCGCCGGTCTGAGCGGAGCGCGCTGCGAACGCGGTCGCTGGTGCAGGGCAGATGTGTGCCTCCACGGAGGCGCGTGCGAGGAGGGGGAAGCGGACGCGTCGTGCCGTTGCCGAGGGTACTACGGGCCGCGCTGCGAGCTCGACGTCGACGAGTGCGTCGGGGAGCCCTGTCTCAACGGCGCTACCTGTCTCAACGAGCCCGGGTCCTTCCGTTGTCTGTGTCCGCCCGACAAAACAGGTATTGTGCTACTCTACCAAGGGCAGCTTCCGTGTCGTTTTCTACATTTTCCTAATCTTCTGTACAGGTATGAACTGCGGAAACCCTCTCTATTCCGACGCAGTGATGGCAGGCGAAACGGCCGGAGGCATAGGCGCCTTGCGCGAGGTGTGGCGTTGGGCGCTGCGAGCGCAGTGGCCGATCGGAGCCGCGCTGGGAATGTTGCTTTCGTTGTTGTTATTGGCGGTGGGTCTCGGCGCCATAGTGCGCCGGTCGAGACGCTCTCGCGCTCCGCCCGCCCCCCTCAACAGCGAGCTCGATAAGCTGGCGAGCGGACGCGTGTGCAAGCTCTCGAACCTCGAGGCTCTGCGTCGCGAGCGGCCGGCCTCGTGCGCCGACCCCCCGCCCCTCAACAACATCGACACGCTGCGCTCGTACGGCTCAGCCGGTGACGAGCTCGAGGGCATCCCGCCCGACTATCTGCGCAATCTAAACATAGACCCGCACCTTGACCGAAAGCCTTGGTCGGAGCAGATGCATCTGCACACGTTCGTCGATAACAAGATCTACAACGGTGAGTGTTCGCACTCTCAGCTCTCACACCGCGTTATTCAATGTGCTGTTTCAATTACATGATACAAATATAAATCCGACAGACTTGAAAGGCTGCAAGCCCGTAGTGGCTCGCGGCCCTTCGCCGGCGAGGCCGCGGCGCAACTTGGGCTCCGGCACCGGAGGCGACATCGTCGGTGGATATCATTGGGACTGCTCGGACTGGTGCGGGGGCGGCGCTCTGCCCGGCATAAGCGAGGTGCCCGGCTCAGAGCGACCGGACTCCTCTTCCCCGCCTTCGCCCCGGTCGCCGCGGGGCTCTCCTCCGGCACCGCTCCCGCTCCCCCTCGACACTGACTCGGCTCCGGACGATCTTGACACTCACCGATTCACCGACGGTAAGACACGACGATCGCTCTCAGTCTATTGAATAATAACATGTTACACGACTAACGCTTCTCGTCGCCGACAGCTTCCTCGTACCTGCTGCATCCGGACGAGTACTTAGGCGCCAGCGAGTGCGAGGAGGGCGAGGGGCGGGCGGCGCCGCACACGCTGCGCGAGCCCGACGCGCACAGCCTCATCACCATGCTCGAAGAGAGGCACTCGTTGCTGGGCCGGGGCGCATCGGGCAGCGACCTCTCCGCCAACCTGTGCGAGATCGAGGAGTCTGACGCAGAGAGCGAGGGGGAGGGGCGACGAGCGAGGCACACGGCCGTTTGACATCGGCGCGCGGCTCGCGGGCTCCGTCGCGGCTCGCGCGCCCTCTAATATCAGTATTATGAGTAACCGCATTGACCTCGCCGATGATGTATATAGATGTCTAGTTGTGTACATTCCGATTGATTGATGCTGTAAATTGTGACTCGGCGAGACCCGGTGGACTATTCCACTGGTCGTTGTAAATTTGTACAAACCAGTTCGTGAGGAATGACAGGAAACGACGTAAAGGAGGTGAACGAACGCGTTCGGCGAATGTTGGCCTGTACATAATGTAAATAGCGCGTGTGGAATGAATGTCCCGCGGCGACCGCGAAGGCGGGCGGGCGGGTAGAGTGTGGTAGAGTGACGTCGCACTCGTTCAAACTAATTGGTGCTCTGACTATAGTTTTCATATCATAAGTTAAAATGCATTTATACAGCTCTATCCTGTAGACTAAGCTTTACACCTAAGTGATCTATTTTTATATGTGTACTAAGGTCGCGTCGCCCCGACTGATTGCGATGGCGAAGCGACAATTATCTCAGAGATTGTTGCGAGACATACAACACGACTAATAAAAATTTAAAAAAAAATACGTTTTATTATTTTTTGTCTCTTCTGATAGACTCTGATCACTCTTCATCTCTTAATTATAACATGATTTAATTCAAGAGATTGTCTTGAATTAAATCATGTTATAATTAAAAGATGGCAGTGTCACCTTCAACTTTATACTACGAGATAGCAATGTTTAAACTTAAATCGCCATGCCATTCCTAGATGGCGTTGCAATTTATATTTCAGTCAGGGGCTTCATCATCTCTTAAAGTAATATATTTCTTTTTAATATGGTTTAAAAAAAAAACAAAACTGTTTTGTTTAAATGAGTGTGCTATCCAACCACAGCAATTTAGAAACTCTTATAATGTCTCCCAACATAAGACTTCATATTGTCCCAAATGATAGAAGGCTTTTTTCAGCCATTTCATTTGATCAATATTTTTTTATTGCAATCGCTTTCCGTAAATTTTGACAAAAGTTGGGCCTCATTTCACTTTTAACAAATGCAATATTATTCTGCTGCAGCCATGCTCGTATATCTTCATCGTGTTTTCGTCACCTACCTCAAGTTATTAAAATCACCGAATTAATTTCTAATTTGCAAAACTTTTATCCTCCTTGAAATTTGTAAGCAAATCCAAAGGCGAGCCGAGTTATTGTTTTTAAAAAAAAGCACCAATTTCATTCAAGGGCTATAAAACGAATGAGGAGACAATTATATTTACCAATATATATACAAGGTTATTCCTGTCTATACTCGAGTAGTACACATTTAAATAAAACACTAACGGTTTAAAATGCGATATATTAGTTAACTTATTTGAAAATGATTTTTAACTTCGGCCCTACGTTTCGGATGCTTTGACTGAGCAGTCGTCGGAGACTGTCTCCCCGCGACCACGCCTCTGCATCATTTTCAATTAAGTTTAACTAATATATCGCATTTTAAACCGTTAAAGTTTAAATAAAACACTTTAACGGTTTAAAACGCGATATATTAGTTAAACTTATTTGAAAATTATTTTTAACTTCGATAGGTGGCAATTTTATTGAAGGCTTTCTTGTATTCTCGGAATTTATTTGCTTATTCGACGCCTCTTATCTTATTTTATTATTAGACGCTTCAACTTTTACGTCGTCACCGTCAATATCTACCGAC